TAATCTTCCAAACATACAAATATGATCATGTTATGTCCTTGCTGAAAATGCCTTCCATGCCTCACCATTATTTTCAGGAAAAATAACAATATCCTCACTGTGGCCATCAAGGCCCTGCCTGGTTAAGCCACTATTGATGCCAGTAGCTCACCTGGGCCAGTGTCCCTTTGGTGCTCCTTACTCCATCTGCACTGACCTTTCAGACCTTGAATCTGCCACTCTCCTTTTTACTCAGGATCTTTCTCACACATAGGTCCTTTGGCCTGAAATACTTTTTCCTCCTCCTTCCCACCACTTTACCCAACTAATTTCTAGCAAGTCTTAGCTTCAATCTCTTCCTCAGGTAAGCCTCCACTGTCCTCTTTTTTCTTGCCACCTTTTATTTCCCTTTAGAGCACTCATCACTTTTATAACTCAATAATTGATTATAATAATTGGTGTGAAACGTGTGTCTCTTCCACTAAAACGTAAGCCCCATATAGAAGGAACTAAATCTGTCTTGTTCACTACAGTTTTCCCGATGCCTAACATAGTGCTTTGTATGTAATAGTTGTTCAATTAATATTTGTTTAGTAAATGAATGAATTAATCTCTTTATACTGTAATAGAAACTGTGTTGCAGATAATTACAATAAAAATTTAAATATTTGTCTGAACCCTGAGAAAAACCCATTAAATTTTTTTTTATGAAACATTTTTGGCCTTCCTAGATATTCCATCCTTTAATGAATTCATTTGGAGCATGTCACTCACTCCCTGACTCAAACCTTCCCATCATATTTGTGTGATCTAACCCTGGCCTGCTTCTCTGGCTTCATCCGATACTGCTCTTCTTTTTTCTTGCTGTACATCCACACAGAACATCTGAAGAACAGTCCTACTTTAGAGCCTTCATACTAGCTGTTCTTTCTAGCTGGACTACTCTTCCCTCACATGTTCACATGGCGGGATCCTTCATATTAATGAAACTTCAGTTCTAATTTCACTCTTTCAGAGAAGCTTTCCCTGACTCCCCAGTCTAAAGTAGCCTCCCTGCTCTAGACACTCTACTACGTTATCCTGATCGATTCTTCAAAGTGCTTAAGACCGCCAGGAATTGTCTTGTTTATTGTGTGTCTCCAACTCTGGATTGTAAACTCCATGAGGGCAGGCACTGTATTTGCTTTATTCACTGCTGAATCCACTACATCTAGCACTTTGACTGGAACACAGGAGGTGTTTGATATGTAGTAATTGAATGGGTTAGTGACTGAGTATTCATCCATCCTTTCAAAATAGAGTAGTGCTGTCCAATAGAACTTTCTGCAATGATGGAAATATTATATAAGTCTGCACTGTCCAATACAATAGCTACTAGCTACATGTGGCTATTGAACACTTGAAATGTGGCTAGTGTGACCGAGGAACTTGGTTTTTGGTTTCATTTAATTTCAATGTAAATAGCCATATGTGGCTAGGGTCTACCATATTCGATGTGAAGCTCTAGAGAACCTAACTTAGATTGCGGAGCGATGGTCAGGAAAGGTCTCTCAGAGGCAGAAACATTTGAGTGGTGACTCAGAGGATGAGTTGGAACTAGCCAAGTGAGGAGGGAAGGACTGGAAGTGGTGGGGAGGTTAGGGCACAAGAAATGGGAAGAGCATTCCAGGGAGAGGAAATAATTTGTGAAAGTCCCCAGATGTGGAGAAACTTTAAAAAAGTGATCTTTAGTGTTGAGGAATTGGGTTCTGTTTCAGAAATTGTATGATATAATGATTTTTATTGACCCATGGTTTATCTTATCTCAGTATTTTAATTTGGGGTGGCATCAAGTAACATGTTCTGGCTGCGCATGCATACCAGAGCCAATTCTCAGATATCCCATCTTTCCCAGTGAAGTTCCATTCCATAAGATTTAGCTAACCCTTCCTTGCTTAAGAGCCTGCCTTAATTTCTTCAGCCTGTACCACATCTTTTGGCAATAGGTTTTATAAGTTTCCTAACTGCTATATAAGGAGAGGTTTGCTCTTATTTGACTTTTACTACTACTTTGAAGTCTAAAGAGTTGACTGATTTCACTTTGTTCACCCTCTGCATATTTACATTCATACATTTTTAAAAAATTTTGGACTTTCTGCTTGACTTTTACGTAGTAAATAAGAGTAGAGATTCACTTTCCCATACATATCAAAACGTGATACTTTGGCTTAAAGAAATCAGTGGAAGGCAGATAGTGAGTGAACTCTTGAAGCTTTTAAACTTAATCCTGTGTCTCTTTGGGATTCCTTTTAAATTCATAGTCTTCAAATGATTTGAATGTTGTGGATCCTGTATATAAATAAGCATAAAATTAATTCCCTCCCCCCTTTTTTTCATGATTATTCCACTACTGGGCAATAATTTCTACTTACCAGCAGGAAATACATACGTAGTCTAAGAATGCTAAGTGTCATTTTTTTTGGCAGACTAATTACCAATTCAAAACTCTTTTTAATTAAAAAGAAATCATCTCATTTTAAACCCCCTCTCCTGTAAGTTCATCTTATACTCCTGACATCACCTTTTATTGTTGCAGATGTTTTTGACATAAGCCAATTTTTCTTGAAAAGCACTTCTCTATTTTTCCACTAGTTCACAGGGTTTGCAGATTTCATAGACTAGAGAAATATTCTTGAAGATGTTTATTATGGCTCATTAGCTATAAGTAGTCTAAGAGTTAGCATAAACCCTGAACCAAACCAAACCCATTGCTGTTGAGTTGATTCTGACTCATAGTGACCCTATAGGACAGAGTAGAACTGCCCCATAGGGTTTCCA